AACATGTGGTGGAAAGTGGCCCGTTCGCTATGGTGGCCCGCTCGCTATGCAAGTACGTTAAAGGAAATTCACATCTCAGGTCATGGACCTTTGCAGGTGACACCAGGGGCAGTCAATAGTGTCACCCGCAACGATACCTGCTCCCCTGAAGTGACAGCAGCGTAGGCTATAAAAATGACCGGCTTGGATAACGGCATCAAGATGCTTAGATCCAAGGTATCAACATACTGCCGATGTTTGGAAGCCATATGTTGTCTCCTCCGAGTTTGCTATCATGGGGCGGGAAACAATCGCCCTGGAGCAATGACAGAGTCGACTTGTCTTGATATGCTTGAATTCCAACGTCTTATGGTGGCACCTAATCTTTCACACAAGGGAAGAGACTGGCCCGTCTGGCACAGTTAATAGCATTCGAATATCAAAAAGTACCGGGCGCATAAGGGGCGATACCCGATCGTGGTGAAGGTTAAGGGATTGCGTTACTCTAATGGGAGGTAACAGACTCTCAGAAGATGAAGCACATTGTCCTTTGCCTACTGACCGGTTTTCTGGCGAAGCGATTCTCACAAGCCTCGGGCTACTATCTCTTTTCCTTTAAGAAGCCCCTGAGCTGAGTATGAGGTAGAATTATCTTTCCATCGGATAAGGTATCTCGGGCGACAACGCGCACACTTGACGGCATGTACAAGTAAACACCCCGGAGAAAGCCATTCCGCTAGACGAAATGGATGTAGCCTGCCCGTCACGTCAGCCTCAGCTCAACAGATAACTTTGCAAAGTGAAGGTCCTCGGCCTTTCGTGGCCGGCTACTCGTCGTTGACCGGCCACACAGGGGGTTGCCAAATGAGCTTTACATTTTACATTTCCTCCCCATTGTTAGCTTTGCTTTCCTTCACTACGACCGTCTGTTAATTTTTTGTTGTTTCCTCTTTAAGGTTACCTGAGCGAAACTATTGAATTACCCAACCTGCCACATGAGGTACCTTCCTTAGTATACCAGGCACCTTACATACCAGGCAGCCGTTTAATCGGTTCCTCCTACTGGACTTCGGACGCTCTTGCCATACGGCTGTCTGATCTAATCCCGGGGCGTTTTGCAATCCAACACGGCAGGCGCTATCTGGAACCCAGGAAATTCCAGCCACCCTGGAGGAACGGAGAAAAGTTTGGGCACCGTGACCGCTGCATCCATTTCTCAATGTTGCAGGGCGGTTCAATAGCAACCTTCTTGTTCAGCTTCCGAATTTCCTTCCGCTACCTAACTGCCCTCCTGGAATTGATTGTTCAGGAGCAAGAATCATCCCCGACTACGTTTTTTTAACCCAGGGGAGCTCCCGTTCACGATGCAGATCCTGTCGTTTCTCATCGCGGCCACACTCACGGCTGGGGCTCTTGCTCGATTCCTTTCCCCTTTCTCCGATGACTCGACTATCGGTCGCGCCGCCACCTTTTCTCTGAAGCAAGTGCGCAACCCAAAGTTTGTCCGCAACGGCCCGATTCAGCTTGCCAGAATCTACCACAAGTATGGTGTGCCTCTCCCGGACGACCTCAAAGCCGCCGTGGCACGAATCCGCGGCCACGCGGGCAAGCGATCGACCGGCAGCGCACAGACGAATCCTGAGAAAAATGATGTCGAGTACTTGACACCAGTTTCAATTGGGACTCCCGGCCAAGTGCTCAACCTCGACCTCGACACAGGATCCAGCGACCTTTGGGTGTTCAGCTCTCTGACTACCAGTAGCCAGGTCAACGGACAGACCCTCTACGACCCCACCAAGAGCACCACTGCCAACCAGCTGCAGGGCTACACATGGCAGATCTCGTACGGCGACGGCAGCTCGTCCAGTGGCGACGTCTACACCGACACAGTCACTGTTGGCGGCGTGACCTTCTCGGCCCAAGCGGTTCAAGTTGCCAAAACGGTGTCAAGCGAGTTTACATCGGACCCTGCCAACCACGGTTTGCTTGGTATGGGCTTCGGCTCCATCAACACCGTGGAGCCCGTTGCTCAAAAGACCTTTTTCGACAACATCATGCCCGACCTGGACCTCCCTCTATTCACGGCTGACCTCAAACGTTCAGCTCGTAAGTACCACTACCTTATGTCTTTTCCGTCCACGGGGTGATGCTCGGACTGACATGATATTCCCCGCAGCTGGTCGCTACAACTTTGGTTATATCGACCCGAGCGCTTACAAGGGGGAAATCACGTATGTTCCGGTGGACAACGACTCGGGCTTCTGGGCCTGGACATCGCCAGCGTATGCAATCGGTTCCCGGAACTTCGGAAATACCACGCTCAAAGGCATTGCGGACACGGGTGCGTCCCTGTTTCTTCTTCCCAGTGCCGCGGTCTCGGAGTACTACGGCGCCGTCTTCGGCGCAAAGTACGACAGGTCCCAGGGCGCATTCACGGTTCCATGCGATGCATCAGCGCCCGACTTTACCTTTGTCGTCGGCGACCATGGTGCGACAATCACGGTGCCCGGGAACTACATCAAGTACGCCCCGATAGACGACGCTGGGAAGACCTGTTTTGGTGGGATCCAGCTGGACACGGGCATCGGATTTTCCATTTTTGGGGACGTGGCGCTCAAGTCCGCCTTTGTCGTCTTCAACGGTGGCAACAGGACGATAGGATGGGCAACCAAAGCAATCTCGTCCTCAGGAAAAGACGAACTCAAGACAACCGGTAGCGGTGCATGAGATAGATCCGGGCTAGGTGGGAAAGGAGGCATTCGGCCGATAGGCCCTGCACATGAGCTGGCTGGAGTTGACTGGAGCCTTGCCGTCCGACGGCTATCATCTTTACATTTGCTCGTGGAATTTCGGTGCTGGAGCTGTTCGGGAAACCCTTGGGTTCTCTAGATGATTTCGACATGAATTGGTAGTTGCAATGACACATGCAGGAAGATGGTCAGGAATGTCAGCGCTCCATCCATTACCATGAACGTCACTCAATATATTTCTTTTACAGCCGAGTCACTCAATGGTTCCGCGACCTGCTGTGACTTTGTGTCTAATGCGCCTAACCGATTGCTTTGTCATGGGGGAGCAGATCTTGAAATTGCTGAACTCGATGGCAAACCTGCCGTCTGAGTCGACGGATTTAACTCGAGGCCTGGGGCATTTTCTCGACTTTGATACATACTGTAGTCAGCGCGCCCACAATGGTAGATGTAAGCTACTCAAGCTTCAGTCATCGGATATGTGACCTGTTCCATGATGAACAATAAGGTCTCACCGAGGAATGACGGACTTACCTTTAAACGCTGGATAGATGGGAATTCAAGCATCGCTGCGCTCTGGTTCTCGAGAGAAATGGTTTAGCTCTTGGTTCTGAAATGCGCTCTCGGTTCGAGTGTGGTGGTCAGTAGATGTCCCAATTAGGAAAAAGCGAGGTCGTGCCCGGGTTCGAACCGGGGTTGTTGGAAATGAGAGGATGTCCTCTTCAAAATCCAAAGTGCTAACCGCTACACTACACAACCTTATGTGCGATTTGGCACAATCTTGTTGATTAGCAGCCCTATCAAAGAGGATACCTGGACAAAGACGTTTGACAAAGCGGTGATAGCCCCTGTCAGTTCCATTTGTCTTGTTCCATACCGGGGTGTCAGTAAACCCCAGTTTAATGTGCTACTACCCACTGTGCAGGTAGGTTAATAACCACGTCCCGATGCACTCTGCAAGTGGGATGCAACTGCGCTCCTACCTGGCCCTGGGGGGTTTGATGGTTTGGTTGTCCCCTTAGAAACCTTCTAAGCCATTACCCTCCTGTGACTTCACCGCAGCAATCTATCTAAACAAAGAGCCTTCGTGCCTCAGCTGCCTGCAGGCATCAATTCTCCCCCTCTATCTGCAGCAAGAGGCGGTCCAACCATGCCGGGCGCGCCCTGTGTTTGGGTCCTCCTCGCTCTTGGCACAATGCCCTCCAAGTTGTCTCCTGGGTATCTTCTCCTCTACACCGCCGCCCGTGCCATGATTTTCTCGGACAGGGAAAGAAAACGGCCGAATTGTAACCAGTCCAACTCTTCATGCTTCCTCATCCTCTAACGTCGGAAGCTCCACCTGGAACTTGACGTCATCCTCGTCGGCACTCGGGTCAAGCAGTGCAAAGGCGACAGAGCATGTGTCCGTCAGTCCTTTCTTGCCCAGGGTGTCGCTGAGTTTTGCCCTGATACTTTTCCAGCCTTGTGATAGGTCATTGGCGTTTTTGGGGAGGGCGTAGGCGACTCTGATATCGTCGTCGCTAGCTGGCAGGGACGTTTTCTCGGGATCGTCGATGGAAGCCGTTAGGCCGTCCGGATATCGGTCCCGGAGAATCGAAAGGAGCTCGGTCGTAAGGCGCGAGAAGGTCCAGTCAACCATCGCGAATAAGAAGATGGTATGGATGCCATATTTCAGGCGGATACTGATTTCGGGATCGTCCACTGTATTGCGGGCTGCGCGCGGCTGCAGCCGAGTGCCGTGTTAGGGGAAGAATCATTGCATTGCATTGCGGTCGGCAAACAGGAGGAATAAGCGCAAGAAATCTTACCATTTTTGAGTGCTCTGATCTTCTACTCGGTAAGACGGCGACGAAGGCTTGAAATCGAGATATGCGAATAATCTCGTGTGAGATGCGTTGCAGGCGATCCCATCGACGCGGGGCACGCGGAAGGCAGAGAGGAGCGCCCTGCCAAGGCGGGATGGAAGGTGCACGCTTGACGCTACTTTAGCGGGGGAGGGAGCTTGGGCCACCCAAAAATTCACCATTTTCAAGTGCTGCCGTGAGTGCATGACGCTGCACGAGCCTTGTGCATGTGTCCAGCTGACAACGTCGTAGGCTGCATTCCTTTCGACTTGATCACCTCAGCTTGTTCCGTCCTATTTTGCAGCGAGCAAACCGTCACCGTCGGCGCGACGTTGCTGCTTCCGCCCTAGACCCGCTGCGTCGAGAACGAAACAATGGCGACAGCAGACGGCAAGGCGCCTTCGCGGCGGCTGCCTCGTGAACTGCCATCCCCACCGACGCAGACCGAGATTGAAGAGCTCTACCGCAACGGTCGACTTTCCCTTCCGGCTCCGCTTCGGATTCCGTTGGCCTCGGTCCTCTCCTTCCTCGCTGGATTTACCTTGGGAACAGCCCGAGGGGGCAAGTCGGCAGGCTTGCGGTTCCGCGCCGAACACGCGCATAAGCTGCCCACCAGCATGACCGGCTGGTTCCTCTACCATAAAAGCAAGAATTACCACGTTGCATATGGTGGAATCCGTGAAGGCTTCAAGATGGGCTGCAAAGTATCGTTCTGGACCACCGCCATGTTCGCCATCGAGCAGATGTTCGACTCGTACCGTGGGACCGCCGACTTCCTCAACACGGTGACATCTTGCGTTACCGTAGCAGGAGGTTTCAGTCTTTGGAGTGCGGCCCTTTTACTATTGCCCTGTTGTTCGTGACATCTCATAGGGCTGTTGCTGACCGCAGCCGCACCATAGATCGTTTCTCACTCCCTATGACCGCTCGAACGACGAAAGCCGCGCTGGTCGCAGGATTGGTCTATGGAGGGCTCCAGGACCTTCTGGGTATAGCAAGGGGTCGCCCCATTGGGTATGTCGACTGGGCCAAACAGCGATTGGGATCACCACGACAAGAGCAGTCGAAAACCCAGTAGGCCAGTACACCTCCCGCTTGGTCCGGCCAGGCCAATCGCCATGTTGCGGCCCGGGCCTTGTTCCCAATGGCGCGAGACAACACCTTTCGTCCGTTCTGGTTCGCAAACCAGGGCCCAATTGGTACATCAGCATGGCGGGCATGGACGACACACTCGGCAAGGGGGCAACATGCCGTTTACATTTCAACATGACAATTGCAGATGAGCACCGACACCAACCGATCCCATAGCCTGCTCGATACCTAGGAGACTGGGGCTGCGTTGCCTTGAGACGCCGCCCTGTCCCTAAGCCGGCGGCAGTTGATCTGACGGTCTCGGCTCAACTTGACGTTGGACCCATTCTGCGGGCTGCAGCGCTCCATTGTTCATTGCACTAGGAGACTTGGCAGGCTCCGCTGTGGTGCTTTTCTGAGTTCTCGATGCCTCGTGTGGCCCTCTTTGCGATGCCGGCAGAGCCTGGCTTCCCCACATGCGCGGCTATCTGCGGTTTTCTGATAAGGGACCGGCGATAACAGCATCGCCTGCATCATCCAACCTTGACAAAGGCACGACTCGACGCAAAATGGCAAATCATCTTGTCCCGCTCCTCTCGGGCCATTGGTGGGTTCTGGCACGTTCCAGTCGGGATAGGATGCGATACCGGTGAACTCAAGGCCGAGCGCCAGCTCTTTTGCTGGATATATCTTCTCGGAGTTCGTCCGATTGGGAATGATGCAACACCAAACATTCGGCCCCTCTGATATCATACCCACGAATCCGCTTTCCATCCCACCTCCCACGCCACTGCCCAACTCCCACGCCACTGCCATTCCCGCGTATCATAGGTCACCCAGGGAAGAAGGAACAGGGCGGAGTTGCGTAGTGTTCCGCCATGGCACCGATTCCTATCTCACGACCCGGTGTGCTGCCGCCATGTAGCATAGCTCGGACGAGGCGGACCATTGCGATCCCCGCTGCGATATTCTTTGCTGCAGCTACCCATGCACCCCCCTCACAGCTGCGTCGTGTTTCTCGGACAACGACAAGATCAGCGTCGACGAGGTCTATCCACTCGTCGCCGAATCAATCTTCACCGTCGGGGAATCTCACAGTGAGCGGTGCGGTCGACTTGCCATCTTCGACCACGCACAATTATCAAGCAGCAAAGATGGTTCAACAAACACCACTAGCGATTCTTCCGCTAAGCAATGTCCTTCGTTCGCTCATTACGACGACCATCTCGTCTTCACCCATCCTCCTTAACCCTTCACTGGCGATCATGTCCGTCTTAGCCAACACCACCAACCCAGCACTCAACCCCGACAAAAATCCCATTCTTCGCTTCTTTCTCAAGAAGACGTTTTATGCTCAGTTCTGTGCTGGCGAGAACGCGCCGCAAGTTCGCCAGACGATTCAATCGCTCAAGAAGATCGGGTTTGGCGGCGTTATCTTGGGTTATGCCAGGGAAGTCGTCCTTACCGAGGCGCAGACGAAGGACCTCTCGTCGTGTGGCTCGGGGGCCGCCGCGGAGGACTGTGTGCGGAACGAGATCAACCCGTGGGCCGATGGGACTCTGGAAACCGTGCTCCTTGCCTCACCTGGTGATTTCGTGGCTCTGAAGTTCACAGGTGCGGGCCGACAGGCTCTCCACGCCCTTTCGCAGCGCCTTCCGCCCTCGGAAGCTCTGGCATCCGCTATTGATAACATTTGCAAGCTCGCCGTAGCACGTGGGGTCCGTCTGCTCTTCGACGCTGAGCAGCAGGCTCTCCAGCCGGGCATTGACGATTGGACGCTCGAATACATGCGCAAGTACAACACACCCGACCGCGCCGTCGTCTATGGGACATACCAGGCGTATCTGAAGGCCACGTCGGCGACGCTAAGCCGCCATCTCACCGCCGCCCGTGAGGGCGGGTTTGCATTGGGCGTAAAGCTCGTGCGCGGCGCCTACCTGGGTTCTGACCCCCGGCACCTCATCCACGACACCAAAGCCGACACCGACGCGGCCTACGACGGTATTGCTGCGGCCCTTTTGCGGCGGCACTGGAACGAACAGCTGAAGCCGCGAAGCGAAGCCGATAAGGAGACCTTCCCCAGCGTGAACGTCGTGCTGGCCACGCACAACCGGGAGTCGGTGCTCAAGGCGCGGGAGATGCTCTGTTCAGAGGGGAAGACTGACACGGACGTGGTGTTCGCCCAGCTGCAGGGCATGGCGGACGAGGTCAGCTGTGAGCTCGTGGCCAGCAATGGTGCCGACGAGAAGCCCCGTGTCTACAAGTACCTTGTTTGGGGCTCGACGGGCGAATGCATGAAGTACTTGCTGCGGCGAGCGCAGGAGAACCGGGATGCGGTGCAGCGGACACGTGCTGGGCGGGATGCTATGCGTGCGGAGCTGATTAGGAGGGTCAAAAGCCTCTTTGGTTTTGCGTAGTGAGAGGGGACGTGTCCTAGTTGACACGTCGGCGGGGAAGCGGGAAGGGATAGGGGATAAGGCAGCTGGCGCTACGGAGTGATAGACTTTTCTCGGTTTTAATGCCGTCATGACACCGATGCGTTCACCGATAGCAAGGATAGAGGTTTAGCGAGCATTGCGCATTCTTGATATTTCATTTTTCTTGCGGTCCTTTCTCTTTCACCTGCTGAGTCCAGTGTCTGCATATCAAGATCAAAGCTCCAGTCGAAGACTGCCGCATTGCCTGAACAACCCATCCTCGAAGATTGGCCCCTGCTGGTCGTCGCGTTGAATGGTGTTGTGGAGCAATAGCCACCGCGCGAACGATGCCTGCCCGCCTCGACCTCGGAAGGGGCGAGAAAAGCTCCATCCGGTTCAGACCCTCCCTCACTCGGAGCAACAGCCG